TTAAAGCAAGTCGTGTACTACGTTCGTACAATATCGACCGAACGACGAGCCAACTTGGTGAGAAGCTAAGACGTTGCCTGCCGACAACAGAAAAGGCAAGAGTAAGCGAAAAGGGAAGAAAGAAGAGAGTCACTTAGTGTGAGAAGGGCAACGGGAGAATAAGAGAGAGAGAGAGAGAGAGAGAGAGAGAAAGAGTACGCGTGTCTTGAGATCGCAAAGAGACAAGAACAGGGCCACTTCCGTGAAGTTGTGCCACGCGACATCCTATCTCTTCTTTCTCTTTCTATCTCTATTTTTTTTTTCTTTTTTTCCTTTTTTTCCTCAGAGATAGAAAGCGCGTTTCTTTTTTCGGTTCGCTTTAGCTCGCGTTAATTCGTTCTTCTCTCACTCTCACTCTCACTCTCTCTATCTATCTTTCTCGTCTTCACACGCGAACTGTTTTTCCTTTTTATCTTTCCTCTTAACTTTAAGACGTACGAACTTTGACACAAACACAAACTCACACACACATACACACACACAGAGAAATAGTTACACACGGGGAAACACGTACACGTGTTTACTCATCTACACACAAAGTTTTATTATTTCTATTTTAAACTTTTATTTGTCCTACCTCCCTCCCTCCCACCTCTTCCTCTACCTCCTCCTCCTCCCTGGATAGAGATGAAAGTAAATTTAGCTTTGAAGCAATCCACGTCTGATGGAATACGGAGTATCCAATAATCCAATGCCTTTGTCGGACAACTCGACTGTCTTTCTGCTATTCCTTTTTTATCATCCTTTCCCCTCCCCCATTTTTTTTTTTTTTTTTCTAGATGAAATTGAATCTTTCATGCGTTAAAGTGATGATACTATACGTATTTCTACATAGGTATTAAATATGCTTTAAGAACATATATTACGAGAGAGATCATTATAACGCGGGTCTACTAATAAATTGATAAAAGAATATTTTACTGAGAAAGAAATTTCTATTACATTAATACTATATTATAAATATATATATATATCATTACTTTTCGTTCATACTTTTTGTTCTCGAATTTCCTTTGTGTCTCATTTTATAGCAAACCCTGTCGTGTGACACGAAACTCGAGAAAACGATCTATCCAGTCAAGTCTCATCCCTCTTGTTTCTCTCTTACCCTCATTCTCTCTATATCTATCTCTCCCTTGTCTTGTCTTCCACAACGTTTCCACCCTTTCAGTTCGCTACCATTGCGTCGTTTTTCCTGAAGCATCTCGTGCGGTCGCACCTTGGACTCGACGTTAAATCACTGGGCTGCTGCTGGTAATCTTTATAGCTCGACGTGTAAGAGGGCAAATGACCTCTCTTACCTTCTCGCTATTCCAACATTCTTACTCCCTCCCTACCTCCCTCTCTTTATTTCTTTCTTTCGGATGGAAATAAATAGAAAAACTAGAGAGAGGAAGAGAGAGAGAGAGAGAGACGTTGAAAAGATGGAATAGAAGGTGGTGCGCGAAGTCAGCCGAAGGGAAACGTCAGCCAACAACGCTGGAAATAAAGCATTTCTCTGTGTGTGTGTGTGTGTGTGTGTATGTGTGTATGCAAGGGGACGATGAGGTAGGATAGGAGGAGAAAGGGGGAGGAGTAGGTATAATTTTCGCTCCTTCTGCACCCGTATTTCGTAGAAACAATGCACCCTGGGAACCGCAATCCTGGGTGCAACCGACCCAGAAAACACGACTGGGATTGTTGTACCACGATAGCTTTTGCTTGCCGTCGTTCCCCAGCCCCTCCCCCTGTCCCCTGCTCCTTCCCCCTGTCGCTCCCCTTCATCACAACCACCACCACCACCTGAACAATTCTCTTTCTCCCTCGGTATTCGTCCATTCGACCGACCAACCGACAATTTCTATGTCCTTTCTATGTCTGTCCATAGTCTGACTGTCTGTCTACCTATTTTTCTATCTTTGTCTACATCACCAAACTATTATGTATACTTCCTATGTGTCTGACTATGATTACGTGCAGCAAATCCCGCAGGGTGTAAAAGAAGAAGTGTAGATACTCGGGAGTAACTCCAGGGAGGAGGAGGAGGAGGAGGAGGAGGAGGAGGGGTGGACTGGGATTTTGGGGAAAATTATTCAGTCGTTTGCGATTATTCCTCTGTCAAAATTTCTTCGCCAATTTTTCTTACGACAATGTGTAAACGAAGTATCGTAGAATTTAATTATATTATATTATTGTTTTACGTTATATAGGCTTAAAAAACATTTCGTATTATAAGGAAACGCAAATGATATCGAATTATTACGATATTTCGACGAATTTACAAATTTTTATTCGTAACGTTTAAAAGAGTCTTTGTTTTTCGTATTCTCGAATATTTTTATTTTTTTTTCCCCCGTCTACTACGTATACGTACGTCGTATATAATTTATTGGATGTGCGCAAAAAAAAAAATCGTTTCGCTATTCGCTTTTCGCTTTGTATAATCTGAAAAAGGGGGTATTATATAGGGTATGGGTAGGATGAAAAAGTAACGCAACGGAAAACGAAACGCATTTCCGCGTTTTCCTACGCGACTACTGCTATTGCTACTTGTAGTAGTAGTAGTAGTAGTAGTAGTAGTAGTATGTGCTTTAGACGCGTTCAAAGAGTCGACATTTATTGCTTCCGCCTTACGTTTCTACATTGCCTTTAAGTAAATTGACAAGCCTGTCTAGCCTTGGAAATGCATACTACACCTGCACTGCTATGCACGCGCGTTGTGTAGTCACGGTATTCTTTAACCAACGTCTCTCTTTTTCTCTCAACCCCCTCCCCCTCCCCACCATTTTTTCTACTATCGACTATCCCTTCGTTGAATTTTTTTCCTTTTGATTTTTTGTTCCTTTTTTTTCTTTTTTGTTCTTTTTTTTTATACATACCCCTCGCGAACGTATCGAGGATCAGACAGGGGCTTTGTCGAACGTGAAACTCATTCTCGATGCGTAACGGCTTAAATAAATAACGGTAGTCTGACTAACGGAGAGTAGCAAATTCAGTGTAGAACGTCTTGTTGATTGTTATGTCGCTTGCCATGTTGGATGAAACGTTACGGAATTGAGGAAAATTTCATTGGTACAGTACTACCTACCCACCCGGGTAGGAAAATCAATATTTGCCAGCTTATTTTTATCATGAATATTTATGTATAATATATATATATGGGAATGTCATAAACTAGAACCCATTCTTCTCGAGATTCCATTAAATTAGTCATTCCTTTTTCCTTCTATCGTAATATCTTACAATAATAATAATAATAATAATAATAATAATAATAATAATGGACTCACAAAAGGAGAAAAATATCCAACATCTTAAATTGATTATTTGCATTTGCAGCGGTGACATTTCATTAGTATCGATTTATTTTAATCGTTTAATTTATCGCGATTTCTCGAACTTAGATAAATCTCTTCTCATTCTTTTTTTATCATTATTATTATTATTATTATTATTTTGTATATTCTATTTGTTATAAATCGGGACGGACCAGCTAGCGGAGTAGTCCCTTCCGCGTTATTCTGTATGCCCGTACTAAATCAATAAGTCTTTTTTTTTGGGGTTTTTTTTTTTTCATTTTTATCCAATACCTTTCGCTTTTTTATTTTCTTTTATATACCTTTTTCGCAATTCGATTGTCCTCTTCCTTATCCCTCCCGTCCATTTTTCATAAACTTCGGCTGATTTCAATATATCCACACACTCTCTCTCTCTCTCTCTTTCATTTTTTTCTATTCTCTTCTATTTGCTTAAGTTCCATACAAAAATAACCAAACATAAAAGAGACGAACGCTATTCACGTTTCTCCAGGGTGCTAGTTGTTCCAGACTTAAAGACGAAATGACAAACGGTTATGACAAATAACCGGGTAATTTTCTAAGGACTAAACGAAGGGAATAGGGTTGAAAGGTACGTAGGAACGGATGAATACAACAGCAACCATCGCAGTTGTTAGAAGCCGCTTTTTGGGTATGCTAATATCGCAATGGTGGGAGTTATGTTAGTGGTGGTGGTAGTGGTTCAGGTAATGGTGGGGGCATCGAATTTGCAACAAAAGGCAATTTCCACGGACTTCCAGTAGCTTTTGTCTTACGCTCGGATAGATATGCCTTTATGCTGAAACGTATATACCTCTCTTTCTCTTTCTTTATTCCCACTCCAATTGCCAAAGTTCCAGTTCCCAGCTTTAGACCGAACTACCCCTAACCATTCCCCCCCTCCTTCCCCGACCGCTTCACCACTTATTCACTCACTCACCATGCAACCACTTTCTATTCTTGTTTTCTCACCGAAAGACGCGGACAAATTTCCAAGCTCGGATATATAACCGCGGAAAAAGCGTATACTCTTACGTAGACAAAAAAGAAATAGGATAAGGAGAGTGAAAGATAGATAGAGGGAGAGAGAGAGAGAGAGAAAGAAAGGAGAGAAAAGACCATGTCAGACAGACGAGCGTGGGTTGTGTTTTATTGCCGTTTGCATAGAATAAATATATGCGCAACTCCCTCCTCCCCCCCCCTCCATATTCAAAGAGTCATCTACTTAACCATAAAAAACGATAAATAAGCTTTATTGGTTGATCGATCTGTGTCAAGATATACACATATAATTCATATGGAATCGTGATCACGCAAATGTTTCCAATAATTTTTTCAGCAGTCAACGGAACATAAGCTGTACACTCAATATAATATCTCTTTTTATTTTTCTGTTTTTTGATATTATTATATATTCTTTTTTTTTTTCATTCCTCTCTTTTTTTTTATTTTTCATATATCTTGATTTTAATGTATAATACAACGTTATAATATTATATATTATCTTTAAGTTTTCATAGGATCGTTACAAAAGAGGAAAATTATGTTGAAACTTCTAATTTCATACGACTAATTGGAAAGCCATAAGAGTAACAATAGAATACCATATTACAACTTTACGATTGTTAAATCTACAAATCTAATTAAACGATCGTTTGCTTTCAGGTCGAAAGCATTCGTTAAGGATAATGTCGCTATAAAATTGGATAAGGTTGAAACGCGTTGGCTGTTGGCTGTAAGTAAAGAATCTATGTTAATCTTTTATCCTTTGTTAGCTCGATTCAATTTTTCTTCCATTATTATTATTATTATTATTATTATTATTATTATTATTATTATTATTTCCTCTTTGTTTTATATTTTATCGCAATTACTTACGAACAAAATTCTAGCATTTATAAGACAGTCGTCCCTCTTTCTATTTTTTTTTCTTCCGTTTCCATTCCCATTCCCTTTTTTTGGAAAATTTGTTTCCTTGTATTCAACATACAAATCTCTCGATTATACTACGAGTCAGTACTCCACCCCCTGAACGTGTATCATTGAATTCGTTGTTTGCTTTAGAAACATCCTTATTTTGATCCTACTATCTTTCTCTCTCTCTTTCTCTCACACACACACACACGTTATATATTTTTCTTGCCTTCGTATTTCTTGGCAAACCAATTCAACGGTACCCTTTTTCCACGCATCACTTTCTTTCCATCCGTATTTCACGGAAAAAAAAAAATTTATTTTCTCTCCCTCTCTCTCACTCTTTCTCTTTCCTTCCTTCCTTCTACGGTATTTCTCTCGGGCTTTAAGGGGGATAAAAAAAAAATCAACCACCCTCGTCACTCTCGACGCTTCTATGTGATGGCAGAGATCGGTCGGCGAATGGACGGCCGAATAGTGGACGATAGAATAGCTTAGCATAAAAATCTATAAATGTGGGGCCGCAGGGGGGGGAGGGAGGGAGGATCTATAGGGACGAAAAGGAAAAATCCATCGGTCCATCCGTCGTTTATAGAAAAATCCGTGGAAAAGTTTCCGGTGTCGCGTCGCGTCCATTTTCCCGTGAAAATATACGCGGCGTCCATCGGCCCGTTTCTTTGGACGTGAAGAGGGGGGAATGGGGGAATGGGGAACGAGGAACGGGGGAATAGGGTGAGATAACATGGTCTCGTGCGCGCGCGCACGTAGCAACTCTCACGAACGCAGGAACAAGGTCCTCTCATGAATTTCATAAAGTTTCATCCGTCCTGTACATTGGAAATTTCATGAGAGAGAGAAAGAGAGAGAGAGTTAGAGAGAGTCTCGCGTTAAAATTGGTGCCATTGGCCGTTCGCATAAGCGCCCCGTATCCGAACAAAATCTCACCTATTACACCGATCCATCTATCCATCTATCTCTGTGTGTGTGTGTATACCGTATTTTTTGTGTATAAATTATGTACATGTAAATATAATATACGGTTATGACATCCTTTAACCGTACTACTCTTGAGATATTTTCTATTTTTATATACCTCTTTTTATTTGTACTTTTTTAGAACTATAAATCTTTTCAAGCAATTCGCATTTTTTTGTAATTGAGCCTCCCCCCCATCATTTCCGTAAGGCAATGTCCTACTCTTGAAAAATAAAACGGGGTTGTATTCGGATAATCGATCCAATCAATTCACCTTGAGAGACTTATAATAGAAATTTTTGTTCGAAAAGAGAATGACGAGGGCTTCCTCCCTCTTTCTTTTCTTTTTCTTCTTCTTCTTCTTCTTCTTTGGATGGGAATAACATCCCGCAAAAATTCCCCATGGGCTAAAATTCAGTTCATCTTGAAATGATCGAAATACTGGATCTTTCTTTTTCTCTATATTTCTCTTTCATCTTCTTTTTTTTTTTTTTTTTTTTTTTTTTTTTTTTTTTNCCTCCCTCTTTCTTTTCTTTTTCTTCTTCTTCTTCTTCTTCTTTGGATGGGAATAACATCCCGCAAAAATTCCCCATGGGCTAAAATTCAGTTCAGTTGTTGCTACCCCGTAGTCAAAGGAATTGTCACCTTCTATATTTCTTTTTTATCTTTTTTTTTTTTTTTTTTTTTTTTTTTTTCTTTTTTTTTCTTCCCTCGAATCATAACGATAACGTGACTCGAAGTAACCCCCTTAACGTTCTTTCTTCCTTCTCCAAAGATATAGAAAACATCGTAGGAAGATCCCAATAAAATCAAACGAAGCTGAAACATCGTTGGTTAGCACGATACCTCGTGATTCACAATAACGAGTTCGGTAAAATTGAGCGAGAGAGGAAGAGACTTAAAGATCGTTTACGATCATTTTTATCGATTCTATGGGATTAGGTACTTATTTTTGCTTTAGCAATTTATTTAAGAACTCTTTACGGAACATTGTTACCAATATCTTTAACGTTTATCCGAGGTGAGAATAGAAATATTTTCTAATCCGTTATACGAGCTTTATGATGTTATTTATTTTCTAATATTCTAAATATTTTTTTCTACTATGTGCACACACACAATACATTAGGGTACGTGTAATTTAAAATAAAAAAATGATATCTAAAAAATTGACGAAAGGAGAAAATAAGTTAGAAAATTGTTTCGAAATTAATTCGAACAGAACTCGATGGATATAATTATTTCGAGGTAGTTGAATAGTATAACGAAATATCGAGTCAGGTCGTTGGTAACTCTGTAACCTCTCATAGAAAATTCATACCTTCCCGTTACAACAATAATGACCCGTCAGCCAGAGTCCGCTTACTGAATCATTCATGATGCTGACAGGGGTCAAGTCCGGCAAGTGTTCGTCAGCTGCAGTACGATTACAGTGCATTAGCCTTTCCTTCATCTTCCATTAGATTCTGTATTACCTCTTGTTATCTTCGAATGATGTTCATTTCTTAGAAAAATTTGTGTAAACTAATTTGTACGTGTTAACAATAGTACTGATTTAATTTATTTTTCCCAAATAGAAATAGAAAAAATAATACGAAGTTTGGTAGGGGCCGGGGGAAGGGTAAGAAGAGGAAGGAAAAAAAGAAAGGTCGAATTTTATTAATAAACTTTCAATCGGGCCACTGGAATTATTCTATCAATAAAGAAAATTTTATAATTGGTTCCCAAAATATAAAAGATTAAATATATATTTTGTAATAGTTCTCATATCGTGTTCTATTATTTGCGAGGAAAAAGAACAAAAATGTAAAAATAGTTAACATTGTAGAATAAAAATATGTGACATATTCGAGGTAGGAAATCCTAATGGAATTCGTTTGGTCGTTAGCTTTGATGACGGTTTTCTGTGGTGACCACAAATATAGATATCCTGGGAATACTTGACCGACTTTCCTGATCGGGCCTGTTGAACTTATCCGATCTGACGGATGAATGGATGATCTCTCTTCGACTTGATGTGGTCCGGTCAACCAATAATATCTTGCGAACCCTCTCGGACATGAGGAATCACCCTGAGGGAATCTTTGGAGATGACCGACCAAGTGGAAACGATGAGAGAGAGAGAGAAAGAGAGAGAGAGAGAAAGAGAGAGAGAGAGAGGTCAAGGAGTGGATGAATATAATGAGTTCAAATGAACGTTGCACAAAGAAAATATTACGTTTCAGTAATTCCAACTTTTTACATTAACAATTTGTATTATTTTACTTGAGAATAATATAACACAATATTAATGTAATTTATTTATCAGCGAATAATAATTCGTTGACCGAAAAAATTTCGTTTATTAAATCAAACCTCGAGTTTCGCTTTGTAATATAATTTTTGTATTTATTTTTGCTAAGAAACTAAATGGATTTTTTTCACGCTGAACTAAGATATCCAGGTCGTTAAATTAATTATATTTCATTTTTCTTTTTTTTTTTTTTTTTTTGAGCAGAGAATACTCTCTCAACGTCTTGTTCAACGATCTTTAGAAGAAAAATAATTTCGAGAAGAACCAAAAAAGATAGATGATATTAAATTATTTATGAAAATTTCACTTACGTTCAGTCTCGTTAACGTTACTAACTCTCTCTCTCTCTCTCTCTCTCTCTCTCTCTCTCTCTCTCTCTCTCTCACTCACTTACTCTCTGTTCGTTTTCGTATGCTCAGCATGATTACGTCTTCAGATTATACCTACATATTTTATCTAGATCATAAATGATTGATGTATCTACAGACTCGAGATTTGCAGGTGTATAGGTATAGGTATCGTTGTAAAGTTTGACGTGTTAAGAAAGGATATAGTAGGAGGCAAAGATGGAAGGATCGTCCCGTAAGGATTTAAGTGTTGAAGGTGCTAAGCTAACTCGTAATCGTCTTATTCCGTGTTAAATCTCTTTTTACCACACCTTTCCACCATCTTGTAGAAATAGAGAAGAAGACGTTATACACACACATACACTATATATATACACAGTATTGTATAATATAACGAAAATACCGGCATGAGAATATGAGATGCAAGAACTATTGTTTCAAAGCTTTACTACACTATCCTTCGTTTTCATGATTATGAGCTGTCAGTTTTAAGCGGCTTAAAATTCACATATTAAAAGCTATTTTAGCATCTTCGAGTCGACCACTAGCTTTTAACTCGACAACCAATTTTCTAAAAAAAACCCACCCCCCAGTCCCGTCTCGTTTTACGCAAAGAATCGTTTATACGTTTTTATGAGATATCGCGTAGTTAAAAATAAGCTTGTACCAGTCGTATATTTCCTGTGTATTATCTTGAAATATTAAATTGTCGTGATCGAAATTAGGTCGATTGTCAAAGTTTTACGCGAAATCGAAATGTAGTAATTACGAAAACGGGATTAAACTTGTTACGGTTCTACTTTTGTATAGAAAATATACGAGTACGTGTTTCATTTTGCTATGTGACATGTTGGGTTATTGACTAACGGGGAGAATCGTGATCAAATCGGAGCAAACCTTAGCAACCTTGATAGTTTCGTATTCAGAGCACAATCCAAAACCGCAGCCGATCGACGATGGGTATATGAATTCATTCGGATCGAAGAAGTCAAGGAGGATTCCAAATCGCCGATGGCAGGATTAAGTTTCAACATAACCCAAAATTGCAACGCAGCTTTCACCGTGGTAAAGCTGCTGGTTACGAATATTTGCTTGAGCCTATTATAGAGGCTCGTTTACCACGATCGTGACGATCCTTTTAGAATGATATTCGCCTCAAGGGAACAATCCTAACTTTAACGTTTAAACGACATTTCTGATTGACTT